CAGGTTCGAATTTATTTTGAGTTAATAAAAATGACCGGTAATTCTTGAGAGAGGGTCAAGGTGATCGAGCTGTTAAAAATAATCATTTTAAAGTATCCAAGCATGAAATCTTCGTTTCTAAATTCTTTGCCTTCCCATTTGTTGGGTACGTGAGCAGTAAACGTCTTTAATGGTAGAAATTAGCATTACCATTTTTTTAAATAGTCGTTAACATAATTTATGTTTATAATTTTTCCTTTAGAGATAGTAACATCTATTTTACTACCGAAACCAAACCACTCATTAAGTTCAACATTAGCAATTGAATATCTTAGGCAAAATATTTTTTGACAACCGAAATCGTTTCGTTGGTGCACTTATTTGTTATACTTGAATGTACAGTATGACTATACATTAGAAGAAAAAGAGGTTTATTTTAACTATCATATTTTGCAATCACATCTGATGTGAATGTGAAATATTATAATTACATCTTACCTAAAATTGGAATATTTGCAACAACTTTTAGATGCTGCTAAATTTAACTTTCATGATATTAATCATAATAATAAAATTTTATTGTAAACTATAAATTATATATATATATATATATATATGTTATTCCTCGTCATTAACAGTTAAATTTCTATTAAGTTTTTAACTAAGAAAATGATGTGATATATTATAATACTCAATACTTTTAATCTTAAAAATTCACACATTCTATCAATTTAGTTCTAACTCAAAATAATACAATTCATCCTTAATATTTAAAAAGTTTATCATTTTCGTCCTCATTTTAGTTCGTAGTATTTTAAAAATTTGAAAATTTAATCATCGAATAAGATGATGACATGTGTCATCATCTTATTGGATGGAGATTAAAGAAAACATTAAATGCACTATAAAGGGATTGAACCTGGGATATTAAAAAAAGACAAACACTAAGACAAGCATAGCTATTATCATGAACGAACATAAAATTTTATGTTAGTGGTAAACTTATAAAATTTTGAGAGGACGAAAGCATATTTTCAATGGAAAATACAAAAAAATTATCTACACTATAAAAAAAATTGAAATTTTTAGGAGTCAACTACCCCACTCGTCCTGTCCTTGGTCTATCCCTTATTCTTGGTATATTGTTCACAAATATATTATTTATATCATGATCTTATTAGACAAAAATTAAAATAAAACAAAAAATTGAGATTAAAAGGGATTGAAATTAGGATATTGGAAATAAAGAGCGTGTAAACACTTAATCAAGCTTGATTTTTATTCAGTATATGTCAAAGACTTTTAATCTTTTGACAATAAACGCTCACATTCTGACATGTTTCATGTTTAAACTTAAAATCCCAAGAAATAACAATATATTTTTTTAATCACTAATGTCGTTTGGTTCATATAAATATGGATGGTTTTGTATGAAGTGGATGATAATTTAATTTATTTGTTGGCCAAAATTCATTTATCGTCGCAGCTGCAAATAACCAACAAATTTAACCAGCCTTCCGCACTACATCATATCATTTTGATTTGCAATTACTTGACATTTATCAAGTCCAATTATGCTGCCACCCTGTGCTGTTTGAATGTGACTCAATCAACCAATATTCCCATCCATAAAAATTCAGACATTTTATTTAAAAATTATACACATTCAAACATTTTTTAATAGATAATTTGTTATATCCAATCAAATTATCAAAACCAAATAACTATCGATTATCATTTAATAGACTTTAAAATTCTAAGGGGGAGATTGGATCATGGAATTCAAGATTCCTGGTGGGAATTTTTCTTTTCAGATTCAAATTCCCACGTTTGGATGAGAAATATTCCTAATAGGGAGTAATAAAATATTCCTAACAGTAAATTTTTTTCTCTTTTTACCGGGAATGTTAATCCCATGCTTTTCTTAAGTATTTTTTGTTTCCCTTCAACTTGGACTAAAATGCCCTTAAAACAAAATATTTATTTCAAAATTATCCTTACTTTTATTTCAAAAGCTATAATATTTTGTTTTCACAAATTTATTTCAAAAATTTATTTCCACAAATTAGCATAACTTTTTAAATATTAATTAAGTTTAAAAGAATATATGGTATATTTACTCTTTTAATATGCCCATTTATCTTTTAAATATTGCAAAAAAATTATATAGATTTTATGAATTTAAATTTAATAAAAAATATATAAATTGAAAATAATACAATAATATATTTTCTATGAATTTTTATATAAATATTTTCATTTAAATATTTGGAATTCAACTTGTTAAAAGAATATCATAAGAACACTTTAGTAAAATATGCATTTCAGTAATCTTTTATTCCTTTAACCAAACACTGTAATCATACATTCCTGTCAAACAAACCAAACACAATAATATAACATTCCCGGTAATGTGTAAGGTAATGTAATATTCCGGTAATCTTATTCCCGAAGGTAATGTTACATTCCGTGAACCAAACGCACCTTAAGAGAAAAAAAAAAGTAAACTACATTCTTAGTCATTAAATTCTAGTGTTTGTTTCATTTTTCTCATTTAATTATAAATGATTAAAATTTTGTTATTAAACTTTTCAAATTATTATTATTGGATCATTAAATTATCAACAACTGAATAATATAATATTTTGGTATTGACGTGGAAGTTAAAATTTTCAACTCATCATTTTCTTCATCAAAATTAGGGGATTCATTAATTTTTAATCATAGCAAAAAATTATCATTTTTGATATCTTTTTGTGCCCACCCTATACATCAAAGAAGTCTCATCATCCTCTACTCCATATTGATTTAGATTTTTTCAGTATCTCTTTAAAACTCAAGAAATTAGACATAAATAAAATCTATCATTTTTGGAGTTTGGATGTTTTCTCGAATTTGAGGGGTTTATGGTGTTATTAAAGATCATAATAGTGGGTAGATTCCTTTTGAGAAAATGAATAATATACTTCGAAACTAGCCTTATCATTTGATCGTCGAAAGAGATCGAAACATTAGAATGCCGAACATTTAGATGATTTTTTTGTAATTTTGAATGAGTTCAATAGAAAATCAATCCAAAAAGAAGAACTATAAGTAAAATATGAATATTTTATTATTGATCTTATTATGAATGACGATTGACTGGAAGTGTCGGTAAGAAGAATTGACTACTTTTTATTAAAAAAACAAAAACATAACGACCATTTCATCACGTTATTAATGATTTAACATTCCAATAAAAAAATAATTCAAAGGTTTAGCGGCAACATTTAAATAATTCATATTTCGATAACTAATATTTATTGACTAACTATATAGCTTATGAGTGAAAAAGAATTATAGCTTATAAATTTTAACAATTAACTAATCAACCGAGACTAATTAAATTTGTATCAATAATTTCAATTAAAAGCAAGTAATGAACATCCATTGGATCCTACGGTATCTCAGCATGAATAGTTAAAAAAAAAGACAATTCTGAGAAAGCCATGCAAGCTATATGGTGGGGACGTAGGGTAAAGCTGGGAATGTGACTGGGAGTGCAGCCGGCCAAGAAATTATTAGCATTTAGGAAATTAATTAGACTGGTCAAATGATAATGTAGTCTTCTTTTTCCTGAAAACCTTTATGGGCAAGCTTATTCGTAAATGCCACAAATATTTGTGTTATGACGATAACAATGTAAGGTAAATACCTTGTCCAAACCCCCCTTTTCTAACATTATGTTTTCATGCAACTGAGCTTTCACTTTTGATGATTGCTACGCAAAATTCATTGGTCACATCCCTGTCTTTGTTTCAAGATTTTGCAGTCATGCGCCTCTATTCTTACGTTTCTCTATATTCTCCCCTTGCTTTTATCTACATATTCCACCATTCCATTTCTAGTTTCTACTTGCATAATTTACTCATATCATATGTGGATCTCACTTACAAATTTCACAAGTAAACAAACAATATAATAAATTAAGTACTATATATATACACAATTTTTCATTAGTATAACTGATGAATATTTCTTATTTTTGCTTAATTATAGGTCCAAAAAGTTGACTTTTTATATAGGTGCTGCAAATGAGGGGGCAGGATCAACAAAACCAAGCAGGGCAGGGTGTGATCTGGTGGCTTTAATAAACAAATCAACTTTAAATCATCACCTGCTCCAGGATGACATTGCTTACCAACCTCCATTAGTGGAACTTATTTACCAACTATATATATATATATATATTATACGGGCTAAATCACTACTAATAAAATTTTTCGAACGATTACATTATCAAATGGAATTTCTGAAAATTATTCCGAGAGAAATCATCTTCTGCCGGATTATCATCCAAAACTCATAATTTTTTACCTTAATGTGACTTTTGACAACTAAATTAAATGGCTGATAACTATATCTTCATAGCTTGTCAGCCTATTAACATATTACAGACATGTTAACCCTAGGTTTGGCATCAACCACCTTATAGTAGGCACCAAGAGAGATTGAAAGAGGATTTCTTCTCCCCTTCCAGCTCCCATTTAAACGAATCACCTTCCTCTCTCATAGAAATATACCGACCAATGAATGTCTTTTCCCTGACATCGACTCTCCACCTAAATCAGAATGGATAAAGAATCAACAATTAACGAAATAAACTTATTCTCATCAACAATATCTTTGTTTGTCAACTATTTGTAAGACAAGTTGCTTTTCTAGCTTATCTATAGTATCTACATTAAAAGAAAATAGACAAACAATGGCCCCTATATCTTTGATGTTTACAATCTACCTTCAGATTCTAGGTATTCATGATGTAAGCATAAAGTAGGTGGTTATTGTATTAAGTGAGAGTGGAAGATATGGAAAAAGACATACTGATATTTGTAGGGGAGATGGTTTGATAATATTCATAAATTGGAGGGCTTCCACCTCAAAAAAATACAAGTTCAGTGAAGTATTTGATAGAGACCATGGTGTTGGGTGTATATAAAACCAAACCAACCTTGGGATCAATCGAACAGCTTAGTCGGTAATCCCTAAATTATTATAACTTTTTATACTGTATTTGATTCCTACCTTAGTCTCTTGATACACCCAAATCCCTTAAACTAGTAGGCAGCCACGGCCATGGCCATAGATAACGCCTTCGAGGTCGACTTCTCTACTTACAGTACCAGCACAACCACCACCACCACTACGTATGATGACCCTGCATGTACCTGGAATGACTGGGGTTCCCTGGTTGTTGATTGGGACTTGTTATCGAGTGACCGTGACGAGTTTCAAGATCTCATTGAGTCCAAGATGGATGATGGAACAGAGTTCGCGTTGGCTCGAGTCGAAAACGAGTCAAGTGACTCTGTTTCTGTTTCCATCTCAACCGATACGATGGTTGTAGATGATGAAACGAAAGGTGGAGATTTGAAGGGGTTGAGGTTGGTTCACTTACTGATGGCTGCTGCCGAGGCGCTCATGGGGGCTACCAAGAGCCGTGAACTAGCTCGGGTGATATTGGTTCGGCTCAAGGAGTTGGTATCCCCGATTAATGGAACCAACATGGAAAGGTTGGCGGCTTATTTCATCGATGCCTTACAGGGTCTACTCGAAGGCTCCAGAGGTGGACATTCCAAGCATTTGATAACCAATGGAACTCATCATCACCGTGACAAACACCATCAATCGGACATGCTTGCCGCGTTTCAGCTGTTGCAGGACATGTCACCTTATGTTAAATTCGGTCACTTCACCGCCAATCAAGCAATCCTGGAAGCAGTGAGTCATGAGAGGAGGATCCACATAGTGGACTACGACATCATGGAAGGGATCCAATGGGCGTCTTTGATGCAATCTTTGGTGTCTAGGAAAGACGGACCACCAACCCCACATCTTAGAATCACGGCTTTATCAAGAGGCAACAACGGCTGTCGATCAATTGGGACCATTCAAGAGACCGGTCGACGGTTAGCCGCTTTTGCAGCCTCTATTGGGCAGCCTTTTTCTTTCCATCAATATAAGCTAGACTCCGATGAAACATTTAGACCGTTGGCTTTGAAGTTAGTACAAGGTGAGGCCTTGATGATCAATTGTATGTTGCACTCACCCCACTTTAGTCACCGAGCACCCGGTTCGGTCGCTTCATTTTTATCCGGCGCCAAGACTCTGAACCCAAGATTGGTGACCCTGGTGGAAGAAGAAGTAGGACCCATTGGAGATGCCGAGTTCATGGGACGGTTCATGGACTCATTGCACCATTACTCAGCCATATTCGACTCATTAGAAGCCGGGTTCCCTATGCAGTGCAGGGCTCGAACCTTGGTCGAAAGACTAATTCTGGGGCCTCGAATAGGCGGTTCCTTGAACCAGATTTACCGAACCCGAAACGAAGACAAGAGTGGTCCCTGGTCGGAATGGTTAAATTCAGTAGGATACAAGGCAGTTAACATCAGCTTTGGTAATCATTGTCAAGCAAAGCTTCTGGTGGGATTATTCAATGATGGATATAGAGTGGAGGAACTGGGCAATAATAGGCTCGCTTTAGGCTGGAAATCCAGGCGTTTGCTCTCAGCTTCGATATGGACTTCTCCTCCATACTCTTATTTGTAAAAAAAGAAATCAAACAAATATGCTGTCGTTTCTTTTGTGTTTCAATTTTTCATATCCCTTAGCATTTTCCAGACATGTAAATACTTAGACCAGATTGTTGGAATTAAGATGTAATAATCCTTAGTTGAGGCAAATCACAAAGAACTTGATTAGGTTGTGAGCTAATGCTGCTGTTTGTAAGAAGAACATGAGCTTGTTTCGTATGAGGTTTTCCAATTTCATTTTCTGTATATTTTTATTTGGCTGTAGCTTTCGCTTCCATTTTGCTCCACAGCGACATCCAACCCATATTTAAATCTGCTTTGTTTAAAAAAAATCCAATGATTTTGGATCAAACAAAGGTCAAAATCCCGTTTTACAAATGAAGATAAAATCAATTTTACGGCTCACTGGGCTCAGTAGTCACTACTCTTGTTCTTAGCTACAACTTTCATCTAAAGCAATACTTAGAATAATATTAATTATCCTTTAAATAAAATATATTTTCACACTGAATTGACGTTTAAAATAATCTTGTAATCTCTTTTAAATAACATATATTTTTGTGTTTTTCCAACTGAATTGACGCCTGCATAAGTTACTTTTCACAAACAATAAAAATAGTGGAGGGATTAGCTGGACAAAAGAAAATTAAGTATACACGTGGAAAACTAATAGGGGTAGTTAAATTCGGAGATTAATTTTAAATAAAAAATAAATTCATGACTGGTGTAAAAAAAATCAAGGATTAATGTAGTAAAATAAATAAATTTAAGGATTAGATAGATATTTATCCTAAACTAAAGCTAACTAAAAACGCAAGCATGACATATATACATATTATATAAATAACCTACTTTTTTTTAAGTATAAGTTGTATTCTATTAATTAATTTAAATTAAATATCATAAATATTTAATATTTATTATGATAACAAATTCTCAATTTATCATAATAATATTATTTAAAAAATATAAAATTTTTTCTATTAGACCAATCAGTAATGGGAAATAGGATAAAACTTAATGTTTGCACCATGCACTCTGGGCTCACATCAGCATCTTTCTCAAAATTAATGCATTAACACATTGGTGTGGGGTTATTTATATTATTTTATATGCATAGAAACTTATAACTATTAAAGTTAAAAGCTTGACATTGATGTGCAGTTGTAATTAATGAAAGTTATTTTTATAAATATGTAAGCAATAACGACAAGTTGAAGCTTCTTAAAACGTCGAGATAGTCAAGACCTTCGGCGCAAAACATATGTAATTGAAGGCAACAGTTTTCCCCCACCATTAATTTTCTTTAAAAGAAAATCGCGTCATAATTAGAAGATTAAATAATAATGAAAAAATCTTATGCGCCGATAAGGAGAAATGGCCCTAAATTTCGTGCCAGTATTAATAAATTATTTCAAAAAAGTTGTTTTAAGAATTGATGGTGAAATTTTCAGTAAATATTAAGTACTGTTGGTGTTAATTAAACTATGATTTCATTCATCATATGGCTATAGCATTTCATATTGGTGTAACAATATAGCATTATTTTTTAAGCGTTGACTTGGTTATTAATTAAAATGAATTAAGATAAGAAGAATGAAAGATCCCATTTTCATGTGGATGGGGAAAAGTTGCAAGGAAACACAGAGATTAATTCTGTTTTCATGGAAATATTTAGGACAAATAGTTGATGAGAAAAAAATGAATAAAAAACATCATCTGAATTTGAAGAATTTCAAGTTTTTGTGGTCCAATAATGAACAAATATAGTAGTTAATTCATATCTTTTATATTTTAAAAAAGCAATTTAAAGAGAGTTTGAATTATTAAAAAATAATTATTGAAATAATTTTGAGAAATTCAAAATTTTAAAAAGTTAATTTTTTTTATCAAATTAAATTATTTTATAGTTTTATAATGTTTAAAATTATTATATATATATATATATTGAATTTTTAAGGCTTATTTTTCTTATTCTAATTAGAATAATTTTGGAAGTAAAAGTAGTTAAAGGCCCATAGCTTTTGTGGAAACCAAGGCCTAATATTTGTTTTCAAGTCGATGTATGTATCCGCTGCTTTAATTATAAAATAAAGGGTAAACTACACAAATGGTCACTAATGTTTGAGTAAATTTTATTTATTTCCATTAAAGTTTTAAAAGTAATAAATTAGTCCTAAACTAATTTAGGACGTTAAACTAATTTCGTTTTCCCCACGTTTGTATCCCGTTAAATTGATGACGTCGTGACGTTAAAAAAGGTTAATATTTAGTTTTATTCCTAAACTATTGCTAAAACTTCAAATAGGTCGTTAAACAATGCTTTTATATCTAATCTACTCCAAAAAAACTTTATAATTTCCATTTTTTTCAAACACCCGACCACTGGGGATTCTTGAATTTTGAAAGAATTCTTGCATTAGCTTTGGGTTTCCTTAAAATTCAAATCTTGGTTGTTGTATGTTTACATGATTTTATGGGTTTTTGTCTTCTGGTGTGAATACTTTATGATGCCCTGTATGGTTTGGATTCAGGCCCCGTCTGTCTGTGAAGAGATGATTTTGTCTGGTTGCACTCTTGATAGGAAAACTAGGGCAATGTTGCGGTCTGCTCTGAGATACATGAAGCAAACGGTAAAGTTGTAGTTGACAATCCATAGTCCTTATGGCTAAAGCAATTTATGACAGAACAAATTGTTGTTTGATTTATCAGTTTGAGGTTAGTAGTCATGATCTTTTGATGCACGGACGTCTTGTATAATGCCATCAAAAGCGAGGAAGCAAATTTTGGCTCACAAATTCCTCAATAGAAAGAAAATATAAAGATTTTGATTTTTTTGTATTGGAGAATGGACACTTTTAATCCATATGGTAGTAATCTTCTGCTACATCCAATGAACCCTTTCTTCCTTCATAAACTGTTTTGCAGGAACAATCTCCATGCAGGGTCATCCTTGTGTGACTCGTCGGAGTGATTGAACTCTACGAGCCGTGTTCCAAAGATTGGAATGAGGAACATTCGCCATATGCTAGGGCTATTATATATATAACATGAAGAAGTCAGCCCTTCTCATCTTTGCATTCGGGTCAGACACCATTTTGAAATAGAAACCTTATATCTTGTGTATCATACGTTATAACAAGAAACATTCAATAAAAAATAACATTCAAAATGTACTTTAACCTATGTTCTCCAAATTTCGTTTTATAGATGAAATAATATTTGTTGCCATGCCTGCAAACGCTGTAAAGATTTTCATTAGATAAATCCTCGAACATTGAAAATATCAGAATAAAAATAAAGAGTAATGTAGTCAATAGCTTCAGCTTGTGACTTAATTTGCTAACAAGAATTAGCTTTGATACACTAGAGATGATAACAATAATACCTACAGTATCTAAGAAGAATATAATCTACATACAGAAAAGGATGCATCTAATAAACGTGTACAAAAATCACAACATACTCGTGCTATTGTCCTGAGTTCGTATCCAAAGTAAACATTCAAATAGGAATGGCCTAAACAATCTGTCTGACGACTTTTGAAATTCGAGAACAGAACATGAACAATAACAGTACCGATGACAACAAGAAAAATCTCAAATACGTTTCTATTTCCTGCATTCCGACCTAGAGAACCTCCGTCTTCTTCTCTATCTGTTTCTTCTTCAGCATCATAAGGTGTTTACACCAGAAGAAGGCAACACAAATCCATAAAGCCCCGTAAACATACAACGGACAAGATTTGAATTCGAAGGAAACCTAAAGCTACTGCAAGAATTCATTCAAAATTCAAGAATCCCTGGTGGTGGTGGGGTGTTTGGAAAAAATAAAAATTTTAAAGCTTGTTGAAGTAATTTATATATAAAATCATTGTTCAATGACATGTTTGATGTTTTAATACTAGTTTAGGGGTGAAACTAAATATTAACCTTTTTATCTTGATCTCACTATGTCATCAATTTAAAGGGATAACAGTAGAGTGATCATTTTATTACAAATCGATAACGTTAATAATTAATTTGTTATTTTTAAAACTTTAGTGAAAAAAAACAAAAACTTACTCGGATTTCTAGCGAAAAGGAAAGGAAAGCATTGGTTTATGTCTAGGAAAAGAGTAACTATTTGTGTCGTTTATCCTAAAAGAAACGGATCGGTCGAATTATGTGAATTTTATCTTACTTCCCCAAAATTAAGAGGTTGGTCCCTCTATTAGGTTGTTTGAGCAAAGCGAAACTAATTCGGGTCATTTTCAAAACAAATATCTTGGTTTACATGGATTCTGTTACTTCCAATGCGCTTGTCTGAGCTCACAAATTGATTCTATTGGCAGTCTCACATTTCAATTCATTGGATTTTGCTGAGACAAAACATTGCTCCGGAATTGATACATACAAAGCATTTATTGAGTTTCTTTGGCGGAATTGATCACTTAAAAGATTAAGAAAGTTCATTTACTAACTACACTCGAAGCTGAATATTACAGAGTTAAGTGATCATCATTACCTAGTTTAAACTTCATACATTTCTCTATAATAAACCTCCTTTTTGTACCTGATGCATTTAACCTTTTTCTTTAATCAATTTCATTTTAAATTAACCATCTCAAGTCATCTTTTATTTTCTGCCCATTGCCCCCAAGAAAGCAAAATCCTCCAAATCTCAACCGTCCAAAACGGTCAACGGTGATGGGAGTATCGAGTCATTTAATATACTGGGACGTGATACAGGGGAAGCATACCCCAAATTCTAAACGTATAAAACTGTGAAAGAAAACAGGGGATTAACTAACTAATCCATTTCAATCCAACGGCTATTAACTAACTAATCATATCAGCCATATCTTACCGTCAAGACCGAATCTAGATCCAAGGACCATTTCTTACCGTCAAGACCGGGACTCCTCCATTTCAATCCAACGGCTATTAACTGACTAATCATGCCAGCCAACGGGTACGCATCCAACGGCCGAAATTGAAATCAACCCTTTCCCCTATTACAACCATAAGTATTTATCGAAATGCCCGGTCCAGTTCTCCACGTTCACTCTCTTTT